TGGCAAGAAGGCCTTGCAACTACAAAAACTTAGAGGTCACTACAAAAATAATCAAAATACCAATGTAAGCATGTAAAAGGCATGGGTCAGCAATTATAAAAACAGATTGATTACATTTATGCCAATAAATACTTTTCTAGTAATTATTGTAAAGGCTAAAAATAATTTTCAATATGCCATTTTTGCGAAAAGATAAACTGAGAAATTGTCTTTTCAAAAATCATACCCTTTTAGCGTCACCTTAGCTGTCGTTTGCTGTCCAAGTAAACGTTGTAGTTCAACAGAAAACAAGAGTACACCTAAATCTGCACGGGGAATAAATCATTTGGGTTTAACTGTGAATGAGTTGACTTTAAACCAAATTGTAGAAGAGGAATTATGAATATGATCCATGTCACTCTGTGTGGGGGTTTATGTACAGTCTACTGTGGGATATCATGTCTCCTTTTGGTTCATTCATCAGGTTCCATCCAAACCAAAGGTGCTTTATTCCTCTAATGTGTCTGCACTAGTCCTGATCTTTTCTCTCATACTTGCCACATACCTGCAGTGCCTCCTCTACATACTTGCCTTCAGACCTGCGGTCCAGGCAACCCCCTGTTGCCATGGGGAACACTTCGACCTTGTCAGCACTTCTGGGGTATGTCTCCCCCCTGCTCTTATTCTTCACAGTTTTTGTATCCTTTCACCCCTCCCTCTTTTCACTCCGCTGGAACCCATCCTCCATTCTTGAGGGAAATGACTGTTCCTTCTTCTTTTCTTTCTCTCAGATTCATTCACCCACAGTGTTTGGCACCAGCAGTCTCCTCTCCTCCTACTCTAACTCCTACTCCATAGAGTCTTTCTAAGAATGTGTATACAACCGGGCTTTTCTACTGACTGAGGGAGCTGGAGGAAATTGAAAGAGAATGTGCATCTGCTGCCGATTTCGGCTGCACAGGATCAGTGAGATTCTGATAGCTGATATTTGCCTAAGTTTCCTTGGGGAACACAAGGAGCTCATTTGATGTATAGACAGAGCTCCACCATGGAGGGAAGTAATTGTTCTGGAGATTAGGAAGCCTTAAATGTCTTACTTATGTGCAGAACTTGACCTTTATGTTTCTGCCGTGGGCATATTAGCAGCATGAACCAGGTACAGGATGACGTGGAGTGAATAAAACCTATTATAGACAATGTTTGAAACTAGGAAGCTAGTGAACTCTGGAATTTACCACCAAGTAAATGAACTTTACTCTGGGTGTTGATCTCAAATTACATAGTAATAATAATGTGATACTTCCCCTTAGAGGAGAAAATCTCAGACTAAAATCCAAGCTGGAGCTGTAAACCAGCTGGTAAGAGATTCAGAGTGAAGTTTAATGACACTAGAGGCTCAAACTCAAAGCTCCTCTCCTGGTCACCACCTAACTGTTGTTAAATAGAAGAAGAATACAGCCACCATATGCACATCTTTTAAAATAAGTAGATTTCTTACACCACAAATCTTCAAAAATTCAATAGTAAGATTTTTCTGTGAAGGTTAGGCTTTCAGAGGCTGGGATGGGATTGATGGACGGACAAAACACTCAACTGCGTCTCTGCCTTATCACACTTGAATCAAATAACAAAGCCACTAGTAGGGCCCAAGTAAGTTCAGCTAAATTGGATGCGACATGAGAAAAAAATTACCTAATGACACACAGTGGCTCACAGGGACTAGACTTGAAAAGTTGATAAAGAGACAGAAGTCTGAAAAAGCAGACATTTCTCCAATCTCAACTGGAAATACTCCGATCAAATCCTATACTTTTCCACAGAGCACAAAACAGAACCTTCTAATAATGTTCCTGTGGAGTCGTTCGGATTAGACCGTCAGTCGGGACGGATCAGAAAACGAAAGATTCAGCTCATAATCTGTGGAAATTCCACATGCTTTGCTATTAGATGCCTTTGCACCGACGGGACCATGTATACGCCGAGGTCAGCCCTCAGATATGGCGACAAAATGAACCTGCTGTTCAGTGGGAGGTGGTGGGAGGGATGTGGGGGCGGTCAGCTGAGTGTGGACGGGCAACAACACATGCACAGCTGGGATAGCTGATCTTGACATAGGGGCACATTACGCAGTTTATCCTTTCTAAACATAGACCTGGCAGTATTCTTAGTGCCAAACGTCTGCTAGGAGCAAAGATGACAGACATGCAACTCCCAGATTGGAATTAGTTTACCTTAATCCAGCTGGATGCATTTTGTGACTGTAATCTGGTGCATTTCTTACCCATGTGAGCCTGGCATAAATCTTTATGATGAGAGCTCATAAAACCAACCACCGTTGGAGAGCTGGTGTGACACAAGTTAATATGTCACATGAAGATGGACGTTAAGCGTCTGAAGAGTCTCCTAGGGTCAGATGATGATGACCATGGTCTGAGGAGGTCACCGTGTAACTCAGCACTACATCTAAGTTGTAACATGACAGCTAAGATTCAATTACCCTTCATTCAAAAGCAAGGGGAGAAAAAAAACCCCCCGAGACATCTGAAAGTTAATCTCTTCTGAGACTAAATGTTACATTTATTTAATAAAAACTAAGCTATGATGTGAGAGAGATGTGTGAAAAATAAAAACAAGAAAAAACAAGCTGCACTGAAACCCAGTGCTGCATGCTTTAACACAATGTCAAGGTGGAGAGATGACAGCCATGATTAGAGAAGCAATTGTTTATCTGTTTGGCGAGAGTTAAAAGGTCAATGCTACGTGGAGTGGACGTGCATATATTTTCTCCATGAATAAACATTATATCTTGCAATGCTAAGAGAAAAAGTCACAAAAGTCCATTTCGGATTCCACAGATCTCCATTGGCATTTGAAATGTTGAAGTTTGTGGTAGTACAATTTGGAAAAAGCTGAACAGGTATATATCTTTTAGTAGTTAGCAGAGAAAAAGAACTCTTCCACTAAAACCACCTGACAGCATTTTTTATGTTCACGCTATGGGCACTTCTGAACAATGGTTCTTTGGATACTGGAATCTGAAATAAAGGTGACTGAACATGTTTGATGTGACTCACCAAGGAAAACTACTGAACCTGTTCATTAAATTATAGCTTTACTATGCATTCCATTTTGTGACACCAATACCACAAATAATACTACTTAATTCGTTTGTAGGGAGTTTGTTAGACTTATCTGGTAAACGCCACCTTCTTTTTCTGATGTAGCAGAGATGTCACTGTCATAATCCTCGAAGTAACGCTGCCCTTTTCAAAAGGTCACTTATCTATCTTTCTCAATTAATCATTTACCCAATAAAACATAGGAAAATGTCCAAGGTAAACCATTACAACAGAAGTTAAAAAGCAGCGACTTTAGGAGCCGAACAGTTCATAACTCACGGACCTTGCATAAGTGTTCATGTTCCTTGAACCTTTCCACATTACAAACACAAACAACAAGGCATTATATGAGGAAGTTTAGGCAATAGATGAACACAATTTTGAGCTCGAACTCAATAGAGCTGAACTGGCAGGAAAATTATGAAATGCTAAAATCTGAATAGTGTGGCATACATTTGTTTTCAGCTCCTCTGCATCCATACTAGAACTGTTTTTCACTACAGCTGCAAGTCTGGAGGTATTTCTGCAAATGTTTTGTTCATTAACCGACAGAAAGGTAAAGACTTTTGCCCATTTTGGCTGCAACATCGCTCAATCTCACTCATAATGCTTAGAAAGCATTTATGAACTTCAATTTTCAAGTATTACCACAGATTCTAAGTTGGATTTTCTCTGGACTTTGAGTGGAGCACTCAAACTCATGAAAATGGCCAGTTTTATACCCCATCAGAAAAGCATCCCTGCAGCATGATACAGCAATCCCCGGTGTATGTAGGGTAATGATCACTGTTAGCTTTTCCTACACAAACAGTCTGTTCCATGAAAGCCAAAAAGGTCAGCCTTGTTCTCGTCTGACCGCACCACATTCTTCCACATGTTTGATGTGTCACCTACATTGTGGTAAATTTTAAACAGGGCTTATGGGTTTATTTCAACTGTGACTTTTTTCCTGCCAGATTTGTGGCGTCTACAACTAGAAGTCTTGTCAACAATTTCTCCCACACGAGCTGTGAACTTCTGCAGCCCCTCCAGAACAACCATAGGCCTTTTGGCTGTTTATTCCAATTAAAGGTCTCAAACTTAAATCGGTTTTAAACTTTGCCACAACTTCATACTAATGTTCCCTAAAAGACAGATTAGGCCTTCACAAAACAACTATATCTAAAGCGCAATTAAATTACACACACACTGAGCTCTATTGTGACTAATTATATGATCTCTGCAGCAATCAGATGCAATTGAGTGTTTTATAACATAATAATAAAAACTTAAAGATGGATTTTAATGCTTGTGTAATTTTCCTTCAACTTTCCACTATTTTTGCTTTGATCTACCATGTAACATCTAGACAAAATACACAGAAGTTTGAGGTTTTAATGTCAGGAAATGGGAAAAAATAAAGAAGTATGAGTACTTTCAGAAGGCACTGTATATTCAATTTTCAGCTGTTTTAAACAGAGAAGTAAAAACCAATAGTTTGAGGAACTGTATATATTTTTTTATATATAAACGTGTACATCCTGTACCCTTTTATGACAGGATAAAGTCCAAACATAGGTCTATTTCAACATCATAAATAAAAGAACAGGAGACTTGTGGAGTGCCTTACAGCTAGAATCAATGGCTGCTTTAAACTGTACCAGCGAGCTGTTGTTATTATCAATATCCACAATATTCCTTCCACATTGATCCAGTTGTGAAAGTTATGTTTCGTTTATAAGGAACTAAGTAAAACATGACTAATTCAAATTTTGAGCCCAACAAGGAAGTGCAGTTGAAAATCACAGTAATAAAACCAGACCCATGAGCTATGCTTCTGTGTTGCACTTTTAGACTCAGGAACCCCAGTGGAAGTTATTGGATTTTTATGATACAGAACTGACATCCAGTCATTTATCTCACCATGTCCGCTGAGGTGCTGCCCGACATCCTGGAGGTTTTTCTGGTGCTCACACGTTCATACACCCCGCTCTCACACAGCAAATGTCTCCTCTTTCCTCCTCGGTGTTTGTAGAAGAAAAGCGTCCTCTGTGGGCTTTTATGGCAGGAGACAGACACAATGTATTATTCCTGCTGACTTCTACTGTCTCTCTCTCTCTCTCTTTCTTCAGTCACAACACAGGTAGTCAAGGCAGGATATAAAACCTTCTTCCTCAATATGATTGCACAATCATTTCGTTAATTAATCCTTCAATAGGTTGTCTATCGAGGAGAAGTTAACGTTAATGGTGTTAGCTGTCGACCCGAGGGCCTCCTTCGACCCTCCAATCATCAACAATATTCCGTTGAAGGAAAGGTGTCTACGCCATGCGAAAAAAAACAATACTGCTGGTACATCCGGATCTTTTTCCTCTCTCTCTCTCTCTCTCTCTTGCTCTCGCTCTCTCTGTCGGCAAAGAAGGAGAATATAAATATCCTCAAGAATGACGGCGGCTGTCCTCCGTTTCACTCTGAAATGTCCAGGTGGAGGCAGAAAAGGAGCGTGAAAGGCTTAAATGTTGTCGGTCCTTGTTTTTAAAGTGCGTGGGTAATTGTCGGTGTTGTTACGGACCGCAGTGCTGCACCTTTACAACACTCTCAGCTGTCATTCTGCCTCGAACCTAACGTAAAGCTCCATACGTTAGACAGGCATAGCGCTTCCGGTACGGACTTTCAAAATAAGGTTTTCATTTTTCTTCTTGGTTTTTATTGGCGGTTGGCAACAAACTTTCAATAGCATTACCGCCACTGGTTTTCATTTTTCTGAAAATATATTTTTTTTCTATGAGCTGATCCAACACATTTTCGTCCGTGTTATTGGACTCTAACAACACGGAATTATGTTAAATTAAACAAAATCGACAACTTAATTTATTTTAGTATTAAATAAAAATAATAATAATAATAAAAAACGTAACTCATGTTGCATTTACACGCAAATAATATTTTGGAATTTATTTCTGCTAATTTTGATTAATATAAACCCAAAATTGTTCTAACTGAAAAATTAGAATATTAATTTGAATGAAAACCCTCCTGACCCCACTAGCGACAGGGGTGTATAGAAAATGTATGGATGAATGGATTTTGAATGAAAACAATTTTTCCATTTGAGGTACAGAATTTGCCTGACTGAGTTCCTTTTGTATGGACTTTTGCTTCCCCATGATTATGTAAGTCATATGAATACATTTTATTTATGAATAAATTAATAAATTAATTTCATGTGGCAAGTAATTGCATCCTTGCTTATCCCCCCCGCCCCCCTTCGTAGCTAAAATATGCCTTAACACTGCAGCAACCAGGCCCACCATACCAATAAGCTAAGCTGCAAGGAAATAAAACAATTAAGATGACTCTTTAAAAAAAAAAAAACATTTAGAAAAAAGCTATGATATTATGTTTGGTTGTTTTTAGGGTAACTTATAGTTAGATTTCATATAACTGAAATGTTTGTTTTCAAATTTGTAGGGTACGGTATGTAATATCAGGGGGCGGAAGGGTTTTAAAAATGGCCTTTTATTTTATTGTTTATTGTTTCTTTGCATTCAAATGTCATATAATTTTCCAATCCTCCATTAATATTTTTTAAATATATCTACGGGATTTGAATGCTATAGTCCCCACAATTAAGAAGGCATTTTATTTTGAATTCAAGACGCCTCTACATCCTTGCTCGGTGTTTCTCTTTGTGCTGCTTTACAAAGTCCTGCTCAAGAACATGGCGACAGTCCACCAAAGTGGAGTCTGAACAGAATTGAAGATAGTACTTTTTATTATTATCGAGAAGGGAATAGAGAATCAGAGGAAAGAGGTTTTCTCTGATCAAATGTTTACAGGGAGAAGGGTTTTGATTTGGATGCAAGATGGATTTTGTTTCTCCAAAAACTCAAGGAAGCTTTCTTGGTTTATGTTAAAACTACAATTTAATTAACATTTTGTTAAGCTGTTTTTCAGGGACAAAAACTATAAACTTTATTAATGACTAAAGATTAAACTTTTTTCAGTTACTCTCATCCTGGGCAGAAAACAAATGTTGGACTTAATAACTTAATTCTGCTCTGAACTGGAAGTGGTGCTCCATAACATAATGATACATTTTCATATAGCTGAATAAGAGGTAGTCAGACAATGTGAAAAGATTGCCTCTTGTGAATCAAAGAGAAAATCAATAAATGAGCCGGTGCTCTGGCAGAATGAGTGAAGAATTTCTTACAGAAATGAGACACTAAAGGTCTTTGTTAAGCTGTGTGATCAGAGCCGGCAAAATTCAAATTTATTACAAGTAGTCTCTGAGGAGAGGTGTAATTAAGAAATAATAATCAGGATATTTATGGATTAGATATAGCAGGGTTTTAATATAATCCTGATAAAGAACTAGTGCTTGTGTGTTTGGCTCGGTGTTTGTTATTGCCCGTGTGTGTATACGGGGTCAGGATGCCTATCAACAGCAGGTCCGTCCTCTCCCCAGTGGACTGATTGAAAGCTATTGTGGCATCAGGAGAGGCTTTTTCTATGAGGTCTACTGGATTAACGACCTAATCTCCACACCATAAAGGGAGAGTGGAAAGGGGGATAGAGAGTCTGACATACACACACAGGCTCCTGAGCACACACACACACACACACACACACACACATGCACAAACACCTAACAGAACGTGCGAAAACAGGGTGAGGTGTGAAAGTGATTTTTTTTTTTTTGCTCGGCTCACCAAATTAAGGTCAGTGATGAACAAAGTAGGGCAGTGACTGAGTGTAGCTGTCCATTTTTAAAGACAAATGATGATTTTATTTCTGAAAAGGAGAAAAAAAACTATTCAGGCAAATCGCTTATAATGAATTAATTGTGATTAACCCCATTTTTTAGAAAGATGGGTTAAATTTCATGAACCACACCCAGGTCTGCATACTGCCAGACCCTATAGAGCCAATAAATCCCTTTAAAAGAACCTGGGAAACACAAGGCAAAGACGGGCAATGACATCATAGGGTACAAAGCCATTTCTTTGTCTTTTGGGGTCTAGTGAACTTGAAACATATTATTAAGTAATTTAAAGTTATTAGCAAATATGTCTATTTTATTTCAACAATAATGAAGTACAGATTCTCACAGCAGAAGTTCACAAGAAAATTAGTTTTAAAACTCTCTGAATCTCAGTCATTGACATCAAATAAGGCAAAAAGAATCGATTTAAGTCAACATAGATAGAAAGTAAGCATGCAGGCTTCAGGGGACATTTTCTCCAAATTGGATCCCTATTTTGTATCCTGGCGTTGACCCTTCTTAAAACAGCGGATTATGACCCCTGATTGAACTGAAATAATCCCTGAGCCACCTGCAAAGACAACAAAACAGAGCAGATATGAAGGGTGTTTGGTTGTATTTTACAGAAAACTCAGGTTAGCTGTTTTAGTAATGATTCAAGTTGCCTTAAATGAGAAATTGTTTCAATTTTCTGCACTACATTTTGAAGTGAAGTTTTAAATTCTGTACGTTTGTAATCTTAGATCTGATTATAACTGCAGACAAAACAGTTATAATCAGATCTAAGATTACAAACGTACCCCAGCTTGTTTTAGCTGGGGCGTAAAGCAAGATGTTTTTGCAATTTCTTGTGACTTGGCTGCATATTACGTGTGAATTTTGTTCATTAAACAGGATGAGGTGCAGGTATTCATTTATCATGAGATTTCCTCCGACTCCCATTTCATCAAAAATGCATGTGTACAACTCGCAACTGATATTTCTTCTTCACCTTCTTGCCATAAATGCGATCAGGTTTCAGCGTTTGCATGTGTTCAGAGTCTGTGTGTCTGTGTGGGCAGCCGATGTTTCCCTCCTCAGCACTTGTCTGTACTTGTTTGACAGTGCTGCTCTGTGTAATATGAACTCCCAGGTCACCTTTACTACAGTTTCCTAGTTCCTCTCAGTAAGGTCTGCTGATCAAATATAAATGTTACATTTAGAGTTGAGACAATATGCCTCTGTGTCCCTCTGAGGCGGCTGACTGTGTTCCTGTTTGGATTTTCATCGGAGCACCTGCCATCTGCACAGACGTGTTGTTGACATGCAGCACATATGCAGGAGCTGTTGGTTGTTTGCTGCAAAGGTCAAAGGATATGATTAGCGTTGAAGCATTATCCCCTTTCAGGGAAGCACGAATATTGTTGTCAGTGTAACTACAAAACAGTTGCGGCTTTTTGGCTTTGAAGGGGTGGCACAGTCACTGCTCCGCATATAAACACAGGCTCCAAAGCACAGCAGCACTTAGAACAGGGGTGTCCAAAGTCGGTCCTCGAGGGCTGGCATCCTGCATGTTTTAGTTCTCTCCCTAGCGGTAGCAACAACCTTTTCAGCAAGTCAATGTTCTCTGCCAGGGGTGTCCAAACTTTTTGCAAAGGGGGCCAGATTTGGTGTGTTAAAAGTGTAGGGGGGCCGACCTTGGCGGACGTTCTTTACATAGAACAGCAATATATTTAAACAAATTTCAGCAAGCCATTCTGTGTTTTACGTTTGCTTTTTTTATTTTAATTTCAGCGATCTTAAGCATGTCTTTTTGTTCATTTGAAACATGCATATCATATGTAATTGAATATTCACTTAACTTCACTTTTTTAACACTAACTTTTTTCTAACGATATTTACAGAATTTTTAAATAAAATTACAGAAAAATGAGCAAGTCATATCAACAAGTGCAGGGCTCATTTGAAAGATGACATATTAGTAAATGTTGATTAGATTTTTAAAAGTGTATTATTCTGGAGTGAAAACGGAAAACTTTTTTGATCTTAAAAAAAACAAAACAAAATTTATTCAGAGACTTATTGTAAATGACAAATGACTTGTCTGCATTAATGTGATACTGAGATCTGGACTGCGGCACATAGGCCAGGTCTGATTCATGCGCAAGATGTCCGTAAGTGAGAGTTATTTAAGTTCACAACCAAGAACGTCTTCTCACACAAATAGAACGTCTTCTCACACATAGTGTGAGAAGACGTTCTCGGTTGTGAACTTAAAACGTCGACTAGGGTTGCAACTCGTCCCGTAAAATACAGAACCGTCCCGTATTGGACTGTTAAATGTTGTGTCCCGGACTGAACCGAAACGTGATTTGTTCCGTATTCTACAAATGGTGTATGTGTAATAATAAAAAAATGGTCCCCGAGTACTTTATATAGTATGCTGCCCCAGTCATTGTTTCACTCACGGTGTTGCGATATTGCGTCCATCTGCCGCATTCCCCCCCTCACCCTCCCTGCTGGGTCGGATGAAATTTGACCACGGGCCGCATTTGGCCCCCGGGCCGGACTTTAGACATGTCTGACTTAGGCCTTCTAATGAGCCATCATTTGATGGAGGTGTGTTAAACCAAAACATGCAGGATGCCGGCCCTCGAGGACTGACTTTGGACTCCCCTGACTTAGAAGCTCCTCCTTTTTGCTTTTTGTTTTGTTTTTTTCCACCTCCCCACCTTTCCCAGATTTCAACATCATTCACCGTGTGTCATCAGCTATTCTTGGATGGGACAGGCAGACTTTGCGATTTGAACTGTGGTTCAGAGGTTTGTGCTGACAGCCACCGGAACAGCAAAACACCCAGCGTGACGTTTCATGCTCTTGGTCCGACAGG